CTTCTGTGAAGTTTTGTTAACCGTCTAAATAGATTAAGGAGACCACGCTATTCGATTACCCTGTCCTTAGGAATCTCTCATCCATTTGACTGCCTGTTATCTTACCAGCTTTGTTATTCTACTGCCTGCTATTGCTAGTTTGCATTCCAGTTTCATTTCATTTCTGTTATTTCGCATTAGGACTATTAGAAAACCACAACTCTCTGCTTGGCTTGACTTAATAAATTCTGATCATATCTCAACTGTTTGCATCACACTAGATTGGATTGACAACCTAAAATACTACAACGACACAATAGTGTTTTAGGATTAATTGATCTTAAAAGCCTATTATCAATTTGGCGCCGTTGCTAGTTTAGTGTTTGTTTGCTATATTTGAGATCATTAGAATCATTAAGATCAAGTTCGTTTTTGTTACACAAGATACTGATATTGTGTTTTTCTGTCTGTGTTTCAGGTACTCACAGCAACCAGCTTTACAGACTCATCTCTGAATGGTCTGCTAAAGCCTTGCTGTTACCTGTTATATGCATACACGGTCAAGAGGAAATCAGAATCTCCTTTTCAATGATAACATCGACCGTATCGCAAGAGAACAGACAGCAACAGACACAATGGCTGACATTGTAGATGACCAAGACCAACCCAACAACATTGGTGCTGGTGACTTCCCACACAATCACAACCAGCGTCATGGAATTGTTCCTCCACCAGTCCAGAACAACAACTTTGAGATCAAGAGCGGTCTCATTGCAATGGTTCAGGGGAACAAGTTTCACGGCTTGCCAATGGAGGATCCGCTTGATCATCTTGACGAGTTTGAAAGGCTCTGTGGCCTTACTAAAATCAATGGAGTAAGTGAAGATGGTTTCAAGCTTCGCTTGTTTCCATTCTCACTTGGAGACAAAGCCCATCTGTGGGAAAAGACGCTACCCCAGGTTTCAATCACGACCTGGGATGACTGCAAAAAAGCCTTCTTGGCTAAATTCTTCTCCAACTCCAGAACAGTAAGACTCCAGAATGAGATATCCGGATTCACTCAGAAGAATGCTGAAACCTTCTGTGAAGCATGGGAGCGCTTCAAAGGTTATCAGACCAAATGCCCTCATCACGGCTTTGGAAAAGCTTCTCTTCTCAGCATACTCTACAGAGGAGTCCTTCCCAAGATAAGGATGCTGCTTGATACCACTTCCAATGGGAACTTCCTCAACAAAGACGTTGGTGAAGGATGGGAGCTCGTTGAAAACTTAGCTCAGTCGGATGGCAACTACAACGAAGATTATGACAGAAGCATCTGCACCAGTCCTGACACTGATGATAAGCACCGCAAAGAGATGAAAGCTCTCAATGAGAAACTAGACAAGCTCCTGCAAGTACAACAGATGCATGTTCACTTCGTCTCTGAAGATGACCTACTCCAAGTCCAAGAGGGGGAGAATGATCAGTCTGCTGAAATCAGTTACATTCAGAACCAAGGTGGCTACAACAAGGGTTACAACAACTACAGACCAAACCCGAATCTGTCATACAGAAGCACCAACGTTGCCAACCCTCAAGACCAAGTTTATCCTTCTCAGCAGCAGCAGCAACAACAACCCAAACCGTTTGTTCCATACAACCATTGTCAAGGGTTCGTTCCAAAGCAGCAGTTCCAGGGAGGATATCAACAACAGCAACCACCACCTGGTTTCCCATCACAGCAACATCAAACAGCTTCGCCTCCGGATACTGATATGAAGAACTTGGTCCAACAGATACTTCAAGGGCAAGCCACATGAGCGATGGAAATTGCAAAGAAGTTGGCTGAATTAAACAACAAAGTCAACCGCAATTTCAATGACCTTAACAGCAAGTTTGAATCATTGAGTACTAGACTACGCTATCTGGAAGGCAATCCTATTTCAAACATCCATTTCCAACAACCCAGGCCAACTTCCAAGGAAAGCAATCCAGAACCCAAAGGAGTATGCCACTGCTCATGCTATCACTATCTACCATGATCGAGAGCTGCCAACTCGACATGCCCTTAACTCAATCACTGAGGGCAGTGTGGTTCAAGAGGGGGAGGATTTCTTTCAAGATGACGTTATGGCTGACCAAACACTAGAGGAGCCCATACTCGACAAGCAGTCTACTCGCCCACCAGCTTCACCAGTCGCTCCCACTGTTGAAAAACCAGCTGCTGCAAAGACCAAGGATACAGTTTTGGTGCCACCACCTTACAAACCCCCGTTTCCATTCCCTGGTCAATTCAAGAAAGTGCTTATTAAGAAGTATCAAGCCCTCCTGGAAAAACAACTGAAAGACCTCGAAGTAACGATGCCTCTAGTGGACTGTCTTGCACTAATACCAGATTCCCACAAGTATGTGAAGGATATGATCACGAAGAGAATCAGAGAAGTTCAAGGAAAGGTGGTGTTGAGTCATGAGTGCAGTGCAATCATCCAAACGAAGATTATTCCCAAGAAATAGGGAGATCCTGGTTCGTTTACCTTACCTTGCTCTCTAGGTCCTTTAGCCTTCAGTAACTGCCTCTGTGATCTAGGTGCTTCTATAAGTCTCATGCCTCTCTCTGTGGCCAAGAGACTAGGTTTCAGCAAGTATAAATCTTGCAATATCTCCTTGATTCTGGCTGATAGGTATGTTAGACTACCTCATGGGTTATTAGAAGATTTGCCTATTAAGATTGGAAATTTTGAAGTCCCCCCAGACTTCATAGTGCTAGAAATGGATGAAGAACCAAAAGATCCTTTAATCTTAGGAAGGCCTTCTTAGCTACAGCGGGAGCAGTCATAGATGTTAAGAAAGGGAAGATTGATCTTAATCTTGGAAAAGATTTCAAGATGAAGTTTGACATCAATGATACTATGAAGAAACCAACAATAGAAGGACATACCTTCTTGGTTGAGGAAATGGATAGGCTAGCTGATGAACTGCTAGAAGAGCTTGCTGATGAAGATCACCTTCAAACTGCTTTAAACAAGAGTGGTGAAGCTGGGTATCTCCCTAGTGAGACCTTGAGCTCTGAGAACTTATTAGACTCACTCAAGGCAACAACTGGGTCAAATTTTATTAAGGGTTTGATTGCGTCAGAAATAAATGGTATGGCAGCAAATGAGGCAAGCTCGACCCATACTCGACCTGCTGACTTGACCATCTACTCGAGTAATCCTTTAAATCGCCCACAGAGCTCATGCTCGACAAAACTGCTTGATCAGAAGCTAGAGTCTCACAATTTTGCATCAAACGATTGGTTAAAACTCATGGAGAGGTCTAAATCGCAGGACAAAGCCATAAGGGAGTTAACAGACACTGTGAGAAATCTAAAGGATCAAATCAAAGAGCTCCATGGGAAAGCCAACCAAGGACCACTCAATATCAAGGACGTACCAAATGATGAAGCCATTGCTCAGGTTAGCAAAGAAAAAAATGAATTCACACTAGAATGGTCTATAAAAGAAGACTATCCGGCTGATCAGAAAGAAACTTACTTTGAAGAAACGGCCATTGAGTACTCAGATGCAGAATTGTCAAGAGAGCATGCTGAGTTTGATGATCTATCTACTGAGGAAGTAGATGAGACCTCATTTCATCTCCAAAAACCTCCCTAAGCCTAATAAGTGTGAGGAGTCAAGCTAGAGACTTAAAACAAGCTCACTTGGGAGGGAGTCCTGTGGAAGTCGAAACTAACACAATCGAGATTTGTCTAGGGTTTTAATTTAGGGATACGATAAATGTGAATTCTCAAAGAACAACAGAAACAATTGTAACCAAAGATGGTGTTCTTGATCTTATTGATGAAAAGAGTAGTTTTGATCGTACAAGAGTTTGATCGTAAAAGAAAAAGATGTTTGTGCTGTGAGAGCTTTGCGTAGTGTAAATCCTAGAGCGATATTGCTTGCTTTCTACGAGAGCCTTGAGTCTCTTTTTATAGGGGTGATAAACCGCCTCTCCAGCGATATTCTCGGAAGATTTCCATTTATCTTGAAGTCGGTGTAGAATATCGCGGATCAGGATAATTTCCTTATTCTTCGGAGTTTTTGGAAGATTTCCTGATTTAAGTTGATCCTTCGTGATTCTTCTTTATCATTTCCGGGTTTATCGGAAATGATCCTTCTTGTTCGGAAATGATGCCTTGCTTGGAAATGGTACTTTGAAAGCGAATACTAAGTCTTTGCCTCGGGACACTCTATGAATTTCTGCTCGGTGAACGAAGTCCTTTTTGCCTCGGGTGACTTGGTTCTTTGCCTCGGGTGATTTTGCCAAATCGGCTCGGGACAAAGGGAGAATTCAGCTCGGGTGAGGATATTCTGGTTCTCGTTTCCGAGCTGAAGCAGGATGACCCGAACCGGTTTAATCATGTCCTAACCCGAGCCGATTCGGTGATTGATCCCAAGCCGATTTGATCGTCGTTTACCGAGCCAGTTCAGCGAGTGATCCCGAGCTGGCCTAGTCATAGTTCCCCGAGCCGTTCTGGTGGTAGATCCCGAGGTGTCATGTTTTGGCTCGATCTTAACGCGGGTGGAATCCGACCCCAACAGTTAGCCCCCCAGCTTGTTAGTTTGGAGAACCAAGCGTGACAAGCTTTATGATAATTGGGCCGAGCCGTTTACTTCGGACAGTTCGGTCCCTTTAAAGTTTTTAGCGATTCGAATTCCTCTGTCGTTTCATCTTCTCTTGGCGTGTGACGGTTGGGATTCCTTCTCGAGAAGTGGAAAGGTCCTTTCGCTGATTCCCGAGATTTGTGCGGATGTGAAGAATCCTATTTAATTCGTGCGTGCCCGACGCGCCTTAGACGCGGACACGACGTGTTTTATTTGGCTCAGGTCCACCACTGCCTGCTCCCGAGGCCTTGTGGGAGGCTCAAAACTACCGCGAAACCGCTGCGGGATTCCTCAAGGTATTGGTTCATTTCCGAGGCATCCTCGGTCTTTTAAAATTTAGAATTCTTGGTACTAACTTAAGTTTTTGCGTCCCAGGCTTTTCATTCGATGAACAGCATGGTTCGAGCCTACGACTCTTCGAACCGGAAATACGAGACTTCTCGAGCCGAGGCGGAGGTCAGGATTGCTGAGGCCGATGCCAGGATAGTCGAGGCGGATGCCAAGAGTGCCGAGGCTGAGGCCAAGATTGCCGAGGCGGCGACCAAGATTGCCGAGGCAGATGAGGCCAGGCGGAAAGCCGAAGCGTTGGCCAAGGCAGAGAAGGTCGAGCGATTGAAGACGGCCGAGGATGGTCTTCGCCTTCGTCGAAAGTTGGAGGCTGAAGTCGAACGCTTGAACCGACTATTCACCGAGGAGAAGTCTCTTCGGGAGAAGGAAGTAGGTCGGGAGAGGAAAGCGGCTAAGAAGGAGTTCGCCAAGAAGATTGAGGCGATAGAGGCGAAGATGGACCTGTACGGGAAGGCGTCCGAGCGCTACATGTTCCTGGTCCAGGCTAGGGCAAATGCCGAATTGATTGCCGATCTTGAAGGCGGCAAAAACGCCGAAGATGAGAAGGAGGAAGTGCTCCAGTGGAAAGCGGAGTACGGAGATGCCGAGGAAGAGTTCGTGCAGATTGGAACCAAGCTGCGAGAGGATCTGAGGCTTCCTCCGGCTTCTCCAGATTCTGTTGAAGATAATTTCGGAAACAGATCAATCGAGGGAGTTACCGCGGGGATTGGTATTACGGATCAGGCGGGTACATTTCTACAGCCCGTGGCAGCGCATGTCGAGGAGCGAGACGAATAAGTCCGAGGTGTTTCTTCCTTTTGTTTCATGTTTCGAGTTTCTTTTGTAAAGACTTATGCCTGGATGGCTTTATCCACAGAATATATGTTCTTTCTCAAGTACTTGAATAGTCTTATTTATCTTGAAATATTTCTGAACTAAATTCGATACCAGTGCTAAGTAACTGGGTTTAATAATCGTTCATCGATAAATTAATCATTTCCGAGTCGTTTTAACTTCCGAACCGAATTATACACCAATGTCAATGTTATTGGGTTTTGGTAAAAAAGAGTTTCGGTTCAGTAGAAGTTAACTTTCGGAATAGCGAACCAGTGTTAAGATAACTGGGTTTTTGTAAGTGTGACGTGAAAAAGTTAAATTCTCCCGAACCGTTTCAACTTCCGAACTGAAAGTGAAATGGATCGTTTACCAGTGTTAAGGTAACTGGGTTTTGGTCATATGGGACTACTCTTTATCGGTTGCGACTCGAGCTGATATAGTCGATGTCAGTGCTTAGAAGCGAACTGGGGTACCAGTGTTGAAGTTAACTGGGTTTTCTGAAGACAATTTATTTGGCAAGATATCTCCGACCGAATTGTCTTGAATGCTTATATAGCGCGCTGTAACCGAAGCGGTGAAATGAGCTCTCTGTTCGTTGACGTGGCCATCGTCCGAACGAACTGTTGGCTTTGTGGGTCGATAAGGAGACCGTAAAGGTTCCCGAGATGAATTTGGGATAGGTGTCGAGGTGGATAAAAATGAAAATCCGAAGGGTAAAAACTTAGAAAATTTGAAAATTTAGTGGGAGTATATGTATACGGACCCACTCCCCCCTTTTTTAACTAGGGGGGGTAGCTGAACTCGTCCGAGGACGAGCTGCCTACGTACCCTTTTCAGGGATCAAGCCACCCCGTAGTTCGAGTACATGCGTACCTTAGGTTTTTAGCGGTAATATTTCCTTAGACGCATTGCGTTCCAGGATCTAGGTACCGCTTTGCCGTTCATGTTGATGAGTTCGTAGACGCCGGGACGGATTACCTTTGCGATCGTGTAAGGTCCCTTCCAATTCGCTCCGAGCTTACCTGCGTTCTGCTCGGCGGTATTCTGGAAAACTTTGCGCAGTACGAGATCTCCTTCGTGGAAACGGCGATGCTTAACGTGAGAATTGTAGTACCGAGCCGTTGCATTCTGATAGTTCTGCATACGGATTAAAGCCGAATCTCTTCTTTGGTCAATTAAGTCCAGCTCGTCCAGCATCATCTGAGTGTTGGAATTTTCCTGCTCGGGGAGAAAACGTCTTCTTAGTCCTGGGATCTCGGCTTCGGTGGGAATCACACATTCCGCGCCGTACACAAGGGCGAAAGGCGTTTCTCCCGTGGCCCGCTGCGGCGTGGTTCTGTGCGACCATAGTACTCCTTCCAATTCGTCGGCCCAGCGGCCTTTCTTCGCGTCGAGGCGCTTTTTTATTCTGTCGAGAATCGTCTTGTTTGCCGCTTCGGCTTGACCATTTCCCTGAGGGTACCGAGGCGTAGACTTGCTGAGGCAAATTCCCCATTTCTCGCAGAATCCTTCGAACCGAGCCGAAATAAACTGTGATCCGTTGTCTGTAACGATCTCGTAAGGTATCCCGTGGCGGCATATGATGTTTTCCCAGACGAAGCTCTCGACCTGCGCGTCTTTGATGCTGGCGTAGGAGTCCGCCTCGATCCATTTGGAGAAGTAGTCTGTCAGTACAAGGACGAGTTTCTTCTGCTTGGAGTTGTGTAGAGGTCCAATGATGTCCATGGACCATCGCATGAACGGATAAGGCGAAGTGATGGAAGAGAGGAGCTCGGCGGGTTGATGAATGGTTGGTGCGTGCCTCTGGCATTTGTCACACCGTTGAGAAAACTTCTCGCAGTCTTTGACCATTGTCGGCCAAAAATATCCGTGGCGTTTGATCTTTATAGCTAGGGCTTTCCCGCCAGAATGGTTTCCGCAAGATCCGCCGTGTACTTCTTCCATGACTCTCCGAGCTTCATTTCCTTCGACACAGATGAGGAGGGGACCGGAAAATCGCCATTTAAAGAGTTCTCCGTCGATCAGAGTATACCGAGCCGCTTTTGCCTTAAGCTTCCGAGCTGCCCATTTTTCAGTAGGAACTTCTCCATCGGCAATGTAGCTTCGGATGGCTCCGATCCATTTGGCGTCGCTTCCGTATTCGGGCTCGGTTGCGTCCGTAGTTTGCAGGTTTAGCAGTTCGATGTCCATTTCTTCCGGTTCTTCTGTCTCCCGAGCTGTTAGAACTTGGTCCTTGCTATTATCTTCAATGCTCGGCTTTTCGATGAACTCAACCGGTATGATTCTCTTCTGATTTGGGTCGGAGGTTGAAGCTAGAGCTGCTAAGGCATCGGCCGATGTGTTCTCACGTCGTGGGCTTCTGGTTAACTCGAACTCCTCGAACTGTTTCGCCAAGTCTTGCGTGAGAGCAAGATACGCTTCCATTCGTTCGTCGCGAGCCGCGTATTCTCCATTAAATTGATTAGCCACGAGCTGGGAGTCACAAAAGGCTCGCAGCTTGTTGATCTTAAGTCCCCGAGCCAGCTTAAGTCCTGCTATCAGCGCTTCATACTCAGCCACGTTGTTAGTCGCGTCGAAATTTAGCCGAAAGGATTGTTCGAGGATTTCACCCTCTCGTGATGCTAGGCAGATTCCGACGCCAGAACCTTGTTTTGAGGATGAGCCGTCGACGTGGAGGATCCAAACAGCGTTGGGTGACTCTTCTCGGGCGTTCTCTGTTGGCAGCTCGATGATAAAATCGGCCAGGACTTGAGATTTCGCGCATGTTTTGTTCCTGTATTCGATGTCATACTCGCTGAGTTCTACTGCCCACTTGGCCAGGCGTCCCGATTGGCTCGGACTGTACAGGATGGTTCGGAGTGATACGGGCGCCATGACGACAATTGAGTGAGACTGGAAATATGGCCGTAGCTTCCGAGCTGACATTACTACGGCGAGGGCGAGCTTTTCAGTTTGCGGGTAGCGTGTTTCCGCGTCGGTGAAAGTTTGCGAGACATAAAATATCGGCTTCTGCTCCCCTCTGTCTTCCCTGACTATGACCCCACTTATCGCCATATCAGAGACTGCGATGTACAGGAATAATGGCTCGCCCGGGACTGGTTTCGCCAACACCGGTGGATTAGCCAAATACTTCTTCAGTTCCTGGAAAGCTTCTTCGCAGCGATCGGTCCATTCGAATTTCTTGTTCCCGCGCAGAGTATCGTAGAAAGCCAGGCATTTGTCAGTGGACCGCGAGATGAATCGGTTCAAGGCTGCGACTCTCCCGGTGAGACGTTGGACTTCGCGTTTGTTCTGTGGTGAGGGCATTTTCAGTAGAGCATCGATTTGCTTCGGGGTTGCCTCGATGCCTCGGTGAGTTACGAGATATCCCAAGAATTCTCCCGACTTTACCGCGAAACGACATTTTGCCGGGTTGAACTTCATGTTGTGCTTGTTGAGCTGGCGAAAACAGTCGCGTAGATGGGCTATGTGATCGCTTTCTTCAAGGGATTTCACTAACATGTCGTCGATATAAACTTCCATCGTCTTCCCGAGCTGCTCGGAGAACATCCTGTTGACGAGAGCCGTTGATACGTTGCGCCAGCATTCTTGAGTCCGAAGGGCATGACTTTGTAACAGTAGATACCTCGGTCTGTGATGAATGCAGTCTTCTCGCGATCGTCGGGGTGCATGAGAATCTGATTGTATCCTGCGAAAGCATCCATGAATGATAGCAACTTATTTCCCGCGGTTGCTTCCACTAAGCGATCGATATGTGGGAGTGGAAAACTGTCTTTAGGGCAAGCTTTGTTCAGATCGGTGAAATCGACGCAGACTCTCCACTTGCCGTTCTTCTTTTTAACCACGACAGGATTTGCTAACCAGTCCGGATATCTTGCTTCGGAGATCGAGCCGATCTTCAGGAGCTTTTCTACTTCGGCGTTCACGGCATCTGCGCGATCCTGACCCAATTTTCTTCGCTTCTGCTTGATGGGCTTGAAAGATGGGTCAACATTCAGCTCGTGGCAGATTACGTCGATGCTTACCCCAGGTAGATCTTCAGCCGACCAGGCGAAGGTGTTGATGTTCTCTTTGAGGAATGAGATGAGCTCGGTCTTGATTTCCTCGGTTAAGTCGCTGCCAATTTCCACGCATCGTTCAGGCCGTTCGTCGTCGAGGCTAATGGAGATTACAGGATCCGAGGTAGGCTTCTTCTCCTCGCGCGCCTCCTCGATCTGTAATTGCTATAACTGTTTAGATATAGCCTTCTCTTCACTCCGGCCAAGTTTTGATTTCTTGTGATCGGTTTCAGCCTTCGCTTCAGTGACAGGGTTTCGGAGTTTTTGTGCTGCCATGAAACACATCCGAGAATTTTTCTGACTGCCCCAGATCGTTTTCACGCCATTGGGGGTCGGGAATTTGACACACAGATGATATGTTGATGCGACAGCTCGCATTAGATTTAACCACGGAGTTCCCATTATGACGTTGTAGATGGTAGGTTGATCGGTGACTGAGAAGTTGACTATCTTTGTTACCCCGCCGGCTCGGACTGGTAGTTGGATGGTTCCAAGCGTCATCAAAGTTTCCCCTGAAAATCCGAGGACAGGCCTCGGGGTCGGAATCACCTGTGACATGTCGATGTTCATTTGTCGGAGCGTTTCGCGAAAGATTACGTCGATGGTGCTGCCGGTGTCAATTAATACTCGGTAGATATCATGGTCTCCTATCGCTAATGTGACGACGATTGGATCGTTATGAGGCATGTCGAGCCCGTTTGTCTCGCTTTCTTCAAATGTGATCACGTCGTTAGGTCGATCGAAGCGTCTTGTCCAGTTGCTAGGCGTCTCGGCTCGGCGTTGATAAACTTTGATTGCCGCTACGGTGTCAGGACAGTATGGCGATCCACCCATTATGGTAAGAACCTTCTACCGCGTACCATCTCGGTCTTCATCTTCCGACCCCCGGGTTCTTTTCTAAGA